CACACACACACACACACTCACTCACACACACACAGATACACAGACACTCTCTCACACACACAGATACACAGACACTCTCTCACACACACAGATACACAGACACTCTCTCACACACACAGATACACAGACACTCTCTCACACACACAGATACACAGACACTCTCTCACACACACAGATACACAGACACTCTCTCACACACACAGATACACAGACACTCTCTCACACACACAGATACACAGACACTCTCTCACACACACACACACACACATACACAGACACTCTCACACACACACACACACTCTCACACACACACACACACACAAATAAATATTAAACATTAAATATTTCTCTATTAAAACAACAGCGGTCGAGTAAGTTTTTATTTTTTTTGAATACATTTTAGTCTCGTCTTTTTCGTCAATGAAATGTGCATGTTGATGTAGTCATAGTTATCGTTTATTGACCTTATTGTCGTCTCGTCTTCATCTCATCTTAGTCATATGGGGAAACAAGACTCGTCAACGAACATTTTTCGTCATAGTTTTCGTTAACGAAATGAACACTAATCTGCAGCGACACGCTTCACTCTGATCCCTCTGTTTACGTGTTTCTGTGTCTCCTGATGCTGTCTGTCATTACACTCAGACTCATTAGCACATTTACAGATAATTAGCTTACACACATCCACAGAGTCAGTCCCGGGTGATTAATGACATTAATATAAGTAATTACACTGTTCGTGGTTATCAGGTGCCGATCGCTCTCGATTCAAGATGATATCAGAACTGTTCCTGAGATTACAGTCATTGTGGATGTTATTTTCATCGCTTGAAATACACTTGTTTGCACTTGACAGATTTTGCATTTAGTCATTTAGCAGATGCTTTTATCATTACAAACGAGAACAATAGAAGCAATCAAAATCAACAAAAGAGCAATAATATGCAAGTGCTATAACAAGTCTCAGTTAGACATAGCAAGTTTTTAAAAAATAATATAATAAATAAAAAGAAAACAGATAGAATAGAAAAAGAATAGAGCAAGCTAGGGTTAGAGGCCTTTTTTTATTAAAACTGTATATAATGACCTACAATCATCTGAGAACCGGTTTAAACACATTAACACAGTATTCTGAACGGTTTAGCTAATATATCCTCATCGTTTCTCTTTTAGCTGACGTCATATGGAAGCTTCTTGAACTACAGCGTTGCTTATGACACGTCTGAGGAAAACGTGGACAAAACGCTTCAAGCTCATTTCAGCGTAATTATTGAGGTGAGATGATAATTATTCTGCATTCATGTCACGCTAGAATTATTGTAATATTTATTATATAGTTATTTTATGTTATATTGTAATTTTACATATACAGTTGTGCTCATAAATTTACACGCCCCTTGCAGAATATGCAAAATGTTAATAATTTTAACAATATAAGAGGGATCATGAAAATTGCATGTTATTGTTTATTTAATACTGTCCTGAATAAGCTATTTCACAGATGTTTATATATTCTCCACAAGACAAAATAATAACTGAATTTATAAAAATGGCCCCGTTCAAAATACTTTTTTTATATAAAAATTGATGTACTATATATTATGTATACATTTTTATATATTATGTATTATTTATGTAAATGTACATTTTACATATTTATTTATTTGTTATTATTAAATATATTAATAATATTTGTAGTTATTAATAGCATTTTTTATATTATTAAATGTATATGTAGTTAAGTGTTTTAATTTAGTCTTGGGTATATAAACTAGTGTGCATGTGTCGGTACTAGCAATAAAACATCAAAACATTTTAATTTTTTTTAAATGTTTATAAACATTTGAATTGTTAATATAATGTATGTAATAGATGTAAACGTGTGTTTTGTCCACAGGTTGAGTTCGGTGTCTTTAGGTGTTGGAGACACAAGCTCGGGTCTCTCTAAAGTCCCTCTGGATGTGGAGCAGTGCGAGTGTCCCTGGGGTTATTCTGGCACTTCCTGTGAGGTGAGAAACCACTTCCGGGTCGCTCTATCAGACGTCCACATGATCAGTGAAGGAATTATGTGCAGACAGCTGAAGCAGAGGTTATTAACCCAGCGCTGTGTGTTCTTCTCTTCAGTACTGTATGCCCGGGTTTTATCGGGTCGGTGGGATTCTGTTCGGAGGAAACTGTCTTCAGTGCGAGTGTAACGATCACGCAGCGGAGTGCGACATCAACGGAGAGTGTCTGGTAGGTTTATCTTCATTATGACCTGCTCTAAACTAGGCCTGGGCGATGAAATGGTATCGGTACTTATCGACGGTACACCTTCCAGGGTTAAGTTCTGCAGATCGTGGCACCAGGAGCAGATTTGGTAGCGCTGGAGGAGTATTAAAATAATATAAAATATGTGACTGGAGCACAAAAGCAGTGTTGAGTCGCTGGGGGATATTTGTAGCAATAGCCAACAATACATTGTATGGGTCACAATTATACATTTCTCTTTTATGCCAAAAATCATTAGGATATTAAGTAAAGATCATGTTCCATGAAGATATTTAGTAAATGTCCTACCGTAAATATATCAAAACTTAATGTTTGATTAGTAATATGCATTGCTAAGAACTTCATTTGGACAACTTTAAAGATGATTTTCTCAATATTTAGATTTTTTTGCACCCTCAGATTCCAGATTTTCAAATATTGTGCTATCCTAACAAACCATATATCAATGGAAAGATTATTTATTCAGCTTTCAGATGATGCATACATCTCAATATAAAAAAATGATCCTTATGACTGCTTTTGTGCTCCAGGGTCACATATAATAAATTAATAAAATTAGATAATAATCCAAAAATATAATATTATGGCAAAGGTGTTTGCAAATGTTTGTTGTGATATTTTGAATGCAGTGCTTCATTTTGCAAGAGATGTGAGGCACTTTGCATTTTGTGTGTGCAGTTCTTGTGTGATTTGTCTGTAAAGTTTTGAAAAAGGCAACGTTTTAAAAAATGTGTTTAAGCAGTTGAAAAAAACCCGTAAACACTATGTGTGTGTGTGTGTTCTCTACAGGGCTGTGCACACAACACCACGGGGCCTCACTGTGATCAGTGTCTGCCAGGTTTCTATGGTGACGCCAGCGAAGGAACGCCAGACGACTGCCAGAGATGCTCCTGCCCACTGACACTGGCGTCTAACAAGTGAGTGACCGACCGTGTGTATGAGTGTGAGTGTGAGTGTGAGTGCGTGTGTGTGTGTGTGTGTGTGTGTGTGTGTGTGAGTGTGTGTGTGAGAGAGTGTGAGTGTGTGTGTGGTTCTTGTGTGATTTGTCTGTAAAGTTTTGAAAAAGGCAACGTTTTAAAAAATGTGTTTAAGCAGTTGAAAAAAACCCGTAAACACTATGTGTGTGTGTGTGTGTGTTCTCTACAGGGCTGTGCACACAACACCACGGGGCCTCACTGTGATCAGTGTCTGCCAGGTTTCTATGGTGACGCCAGCGAAGGAACGCCAGACGACTGCCAGAGATGCTCCTGCCCACTGACACTGGCGTCTAACAAGTGAGTGACCGACCGTGTGTATGAGTGTGAGTGTGAGTGTGAGTGCGTGTGTGTGTGTGTGTGTGTGTGTGTGTGTGTGTGAGAGTGTGAGTGTGAGTGTGAGTGTGAGTGTGTGTGTGTGTGTGAGTGTGTGTGTGAGTGTGTGAGTGTGTGTGAGAGCACAACTGTTGATAATTCTAATAATAAATCAGCATATTAGAATGATTTCTGAAGGATCATGTGACACTCATCCACTCATGTGGAAATTCAGCTTTGCGTCACAGAAATAAATTAAATTTTAAAGGATATTAAAATAGAAACCATTATTTTATATTGTAATAACATTTAGCAAGATTACTGTATTTTTCTGTATTTTGATCAAATAAATGCAGCTTTGATGAGCAGAAGAGTCTTCTTTAAAAACATTACAAGTCTTACTGATCCCAAACTTTTGACCGGTAGTGTATATATATATATATATCAGTACAAATATGTAGCCCCTATGAAACAGTGTGTGAAATATCTGACTGGTGTGTGTGCTGTAGTTTTAGCCCCACGTGTGTGCTGCAGCGTGCCGGTGAGTTCACCTGTGATCAGTGCCAGCTGGGATACGCCGGAGCCAAGTGTGAGAGGTACAGGACTAATGAGGAAGTTTGATCTTTGATTTATTCTGAGCTTCATATTCCTGCACCAATAAAATCACTGATTACTGGTCCTCAGGTGTGCTGACGGTTACTATGGCGACCCCGCGGAGCCGGGCCGGCGGTGTTTGGCGTGTGAGTGTAACGGTAACATGGATCCGGCTGAAGCGGGTCACTGTGACGGACGCACCGGAGAGTGTCTGAAGTGTTTGGGTCACACGGCGGGTCTGCACTGCGAGCGCTGCGCCGACGGCTTCTACGGAGACGCCGTGACCCTCAAAAACTGCCAGGGTGAGAGAATATCACTCGACATATGTTTTATGCATCATTCTTATATTAAAATCTTTGTCCCTGAGGTTCACTTACAATGTTTTTGCGTAATTTAAATGTTCATTTAGCTCTTTCTTTTCACTCTGAGAAGTACATTTCTATTTTCTGTTGTGCGATAATGACTGATTGAAATGTATATTTGAAGTTATTATAATAATTTGTGTCCCTGCAGCACAGAAGCAGTGTAGAGTCGCTGGGGGATATTTGTAGCAATAGCCAACAATACATTGTATGGGTCACAATTATACATTTCTCTTTTATGCCAAAAATCATTAGGATATTAAGTAAAGATCATGTTCCATGAAGATATTTAGTAAATGTCCTACCGTAAATATATCAAAACTTAATGTTTGATTAGTAATATGCATTGCTAAGAACTTCATTTGAACAACTTTAAAGATGATTTTCTCAATATTTAGATTTTTTTGCACCCTCAGATTCCAGATTTTCAAATATTGTCCGATCCTAACAAACCATACATCAATGGAAAGCTTATTTATTCAGCTTTCAGCTGATGCATAAATCTCAATTTCAAAAAATTGACTGGTTTTGTGCTCCAGGGTCACAAATGTTTTATGCATCATTTTTATATTAAAATCTTTGTCCCTGAGGTTCACTTACAATGCTTTTGGGTAATTGAATTTTCATTTACGTCTTTCGTTCCACTCTTATAAGTACATTTCTATTTTTCTGTTGTGCAATAATGACTGATTGAAATGTATATTTGAAGTAATTATATTTAAATCATATTAATATTATCTATTAGGGGTGTAACGGTACATGTATTCGTACCGAAAATCTTCGGTAAGGGTCTTTCAGTTCGGTACGCAATAACAGACAATAAATCCCGCTTTGGCTGGACAGATCGCTGTATAGACGCCTCAGTGATCATCCCTCTTCTTCTTTACTGCTAGGTTTAACGTGAAATAAACATGAATGAACTTCTCACCCCTCATGTAATCGCTCAAACAGCGTTTCAGTTGCAGAAAGACGTCATTAAAACAGCGTGTAAACAACATTTCACAGCATTTATTAACCTCAGGCAAGTCATCAGTGTCTACAGCTCGGTGTTTACTACAGAAATGATGTCTAGAGAAGAGCATTTTGATAAATATTAGACTTTATACTCGTTATATTTTACTTTGACGTCATAATTATGTAACGTGTTTAAATAAATCTTTTATGACAGCCTCTCTGTAAATTATTATATTTCAACAACGAATAGAAATTGTATAATATAGAAGGTAATTTAAAAACTGCGTTATGTGCAATTTACATGTTTGCATACAAATTTTTAATTTGTGTGTTGATTACTATAGTTAAAAATAAACAGTAATTGAATTTAAGTTTGGGCTGTGTTGTTAATTGTAACCTTATAGTAATGTAAAAGGGCTCCCTATAGTTTAGAGCTGAGGTAGATTTTAATTGTAGTTGAATTTATTTAAAGAATAAGCAATTTGTTCAGTAAACCATTGTTTAACTAAAAAACATATATATATATATAGGTTTAGTTTTTTCCTCCTGCTGTACCGAAACCATACCAAAGCGTCATGTTTGTGTACCGTTACACCCCTAATATATAAACATAATAGTCAGATTTGGATAATAATAATAATAATAACACTTTCTGACATGAAGCTCCAGTGAAATCTGCTGGACAAACGCGGAACTGTTTTACTGTAGTGTGTAATCCGTGTTTCCGTGTGTGTGTGTGTGTGTGTGTGTGTGTGTGCAGCCCGCGGTTGCCATGGTGAC